TTAAATCTGAACACCGATTTTTTAGTCGAAATTCATGTCCAAATCTTACCCCAAGATTCGTATATAGACATGGGTCAAAATTTCCCCCCCCATAACTCGGTCAAATCTCATCCGATTTTTACGAGGTTGGTCTTTTTCTTCATGGTTTGGCCTCTAGATTAATGTGGCATTTAAATCTGAACACCGATTTTTAGTCGAAATTCATGTCCAAATCTTATCCCAAGATTCGTATATAGACATGAGTCAAAATTTCCCACCCCCATAACTCGGTCAAATCTCATCCGATTTTTACGAGGTTTGGCTTTTTCTTCATGGTTTGGCCTCTAGATTAATGTGGCATATAAATCTGAACACCGATTTTTTAGTCGAAATTCATGTCCAAATCTTATCCCAATTTCGTATATAGACATGGATCAAAATTTCCCACCTCCATAACTCGGTCAAATCTCATCCGATTTTTACGAGGTTGGTCTTTTTCTTCATGGTTTGCCCTCTAGATTAATCTGGCATTTAAATCTGAACACCGATTTTTTAGTCGAAATTCATGTCCAAACCTTACCCCTAGATTCGTATATAGACATGGGTCAAAATTTCCCACCTCCATAACTCGGTCAAATCTCATCCGATTTTTACGAGGTTGGTCTTTTTCTTCATGGCTTGGCCACTAGATTAATGTAGCATATAAATCTGAACACCGATTTTTTAGTCGAAATTCATGTCCAAATCTTATCCCAAGATTCGTATATAGACATGGGTCAAAATTTTCCCACCTCCATAACTCGGTCAAACCTCATCCGATTTTTACGAGGTTGGTCTTTTTCTTCATGGTTTGGCCTCTAGATTAATGTGGCATTTAAATCTGAACACCGATTTTTTAGTCGAAATTCATGTCCAAATCTTACCCCAAGATTCGTATATAGACATGGGTCAAAATTTCCCACCCCTATAACTCGGGCAAATCTCATCCGATTTTTACGAGGTTGGTCTTTTTCTTCATGGTTTGGCCTCTAGATTAATGTGGCATTTAAATCTGAACACCGATTTTTTAATCGAAATTCATGTCCAAATCTTATCCCAAGATTCGTATATAGACATGGGTCAAAATTTCCCACCTCCATAACTCGGTCAAATCTCATCCGATTTTTACGAGGTTGGTCTTTTTCTTCATGGTTTGCCCTCTAGATTAATCTAGCATTTAAATCTGAACACCGATTTTTTAGTCGAAATTCATGTCCAAACCTTACCCCTAGATTCGTATATAGACATGGGTCAAAATTTCCCACCCCCATAACTCGGTCAAATCTCATCCGATTTTTACGAGGTTGGTCTTTTTCTTCATGGTTTGGCCTCTAGATTAATGTGGCATTTAAATCTGAACACCGATTTTTTAGTCGAAATTCATGTCCAAATCTTATCCCAAGATTCGTATATAGACATGGGTCAAAATTTCCCACCCCCATAACTCGGTCAAATCTCATCCGATTTTTATGAGGTTTGGCTTTTTCTTCATGGTTTGGCCTGTAGATTTATGTGGCATATAAATCTGAACACCGATTTTTTAATCGAAATTCATGTCCAAATCTTATCCCAAGATTCGTATATATTCGTTTTTAGTCGAAATTCATGTCCAAACCTTACCCCTAGATTCGTATATAGACATGGGTCAAAATTTCCCACCTCCATAACTCGGTCAAATCTCATCCGATTTTTGCGTGGGTGGTCGTTTTCTTCACGGTTTGGCCTCTAGATTAATGTGGCATTTAAATCTGAACACCGATTTTTAGTTGAAATTCATGTCCAAATCTTACCCCCAAGATTCGTATATAGACATGGGTCAAAATTTCCCACCCCTAGAACTCGGTCAAATCTCATTCGATTTTTACGAGGTTGGTCTTTTTGTTCATGGTTTGGCTTCTGGATCAATTTGGAATCTTAATATGGCAACATTATTGTTGGTCTAAATGCATCTCAAAATGGTAGCCTTAAATATCCTATATAAACATAGATAAAAATATCTCACGAGGAAAGCTAACAAAACTCGCTCCTACTTACTGTATTTATGAGCTTGTAGCAGTGCTTAGAATTATGTGTCTTAGAAATAAATATATATATTAGGATAACTATTCGTATTCAAGTTCCAACTGATTTCTTAGCTAACTCTTTGTGAGGAGTATCAAGCAAAACGCCTGTTATCCTTTAAGTTTCTGCCCAATTGAGCCCCCGTTTTAAGCAATGGGCCCGTTTGGCGTTCAGTCCGCTCCTGGCGAATATTACGTATACGTCGCGTGGCCGTGCACGCTGTCGTCATTGCATTGAATCGAATCTAAAAAAAAAAATAAACGAAAAAAAAAAGCGCTGCAACGGCTGCTGCACTCATCTAACCTTGAGTCTTGTTTGTCAATGGTGCGAGAATCGGTTTCGGTATCCATTCAACTGGACAGGCAGACGGCACGTGTGCGGCCCGAGCTATCAACAGGCTCTGTTTTATCAATAATTCGACACGAAAATGTTCGATAATCCATCAAGAAATTTGTTTTCCTTTGCTGTTCGCACTTCATATTTAATTAATTATTATTTGGGCATTCCATAAATTTGTTTGCCCAGCGAAACTTTAAATGCAGCTCGTTAATTGAACTTTGGCAGCAAATAGCTTGAGCCACAACAGACAGCTCTGTGTGTGTATGTGTGTGTGTGTGTGTGTGTGTGTTTGCCTTGCCCCACTTTGTGGCAACTTTAACTTTGCTTTTCAAGTTCGCTTCGCCTTCGACTGCATACTTTTAGGCTGATTATTGGGCTTAGCCTTTGCCTTCACTTCATTGGAAATAGGCAATTCTCTGCCCGAACTCATTTAATGCATGTCAATTATTCGGAGCCCAAAATTTGTCCTTGCCTCGGCAGGCGAACCTTTTTTACTCACAATTTCGTTTGCGTGTGCGAACTTATGCAAAATCGAGCAGGATCTGCGCTGGTCGACAGACAGTTACCCTGTAAACAAGACAGACATTCGAGCTGGCTTGTTTTCTTGATTAACGTCGGGGCTTAGAGGCCGAACGCTGTGAAAATTGCAAGGCTCAAATATGGCATAAAAAAGTGTGCATATACGAATGCCCAAATATTCTAGGAATTGGATATATATAATTGAATCTATACTCTAAATTTGCTGTCTCTTATTTATATAAGCTTAAGGGTGAGGTAAAGAAGAAGGAAGTTTGTTTGTATTTGTGTCGAAACGGGGCAAGTTTTCTATTATACTTATAATACAAACTAGATTTAAATCAAATCATCCAAAGTTTTTATAAGTAATATTTCTTGAAGAACTATTAGAACTTCGATTCAAAACAGTGAGAAATTTATTGCTGACATAGGCAAGTCTTAAGTGTCCCCACTCTCGACCAAGCCCATTTACAGGGTATATGAAGTACACGTGTGGGTCTGGACAGCAGATTAATTAACGATAAATGTGCGGTAAAATGTCTGATATTACGTATACGCCGTGCTGTTAGCTTATGGCCTAACATAAGGCGCTGACACAATGAAGTAAATTAGAAAATCGAAATGCCGCTAATCATATATATACTATATATAGTTAAATATACTTATATACATATATTTAATTACCGCCATCTGTCTTTAGAACGTGAAATACTAAATGTAATTAGAATATTGTATGGAAAATTATTTATTATTTCACTTTTGCCAACGAATCCTATGAAAGGTTTTTTCTGTGTTGCAACTAATTCTTGCCGCGCTATCATATTTATGTACATACATATATCTAGAGTAAAGCCCAGTTGAATTTTGTATCTGTTTGGAGCTCAGATAACGCGTCCAAGAACAAAAGTATCTTCCACTTCGTTCCGACACTTTTCTTATCTTTTTGTTTATTTAACCCGCTTTTCCCACTATTTGGCCGGCTTCCATTCCACTTATTTAGCTGCTGTGTTTGCTCTTGACCCGCTTTGGGGTAGATCGCGCGATCTCCATGGGGTTGAGCACGTTGTCATGATTTATGCTGCGTCAGACATTTATTTTGATGACTTTTATCTGGTGTCAAGAGCATTTGTTCAATTTAATGTTAATTTTTATTAGGCTTTTGTGGGCGGCATTTGGAATGCACGTTTCTTTTAACTTTTACTTTAGCACAGATGAGTTATCGAAGCGATAAAGTTAGAAACTTAATTTGCATTAGCTTTACGATATTTTTAAATCGACATTTCTTATCGTTTCCAATTTATCGATCAAAATCGATCTTGAGACCTGGTTTTTAATATTTTGGTCCTAGATATTCTCGTGTAATATATCCCTTTTTTAACTCTGGGGTAAATGCTAGTCGTATAATCCCGACTAAAGCACTTTCTTTTTTATTGTCTATGTCAACTTGTAAACGCTTTTAATGGCCCAGCTCATAAATGTTTTGATCGTTTGCCATGTTTTATAGTTTAAGCGCTGTTTAATTTCCTATCAGAGTTCACAAGAGGCTGCTAATTCGTTTTTGTATGCAGCAACTGGTCAGCGCTCCCGCATAAACATATTTAATGGCTGCTCAATTTCCCCCTTACACCACCCACAAAAATTACCCTTTTGGCAATTTGTTCCCTCTAATTTGGAACTTTCTTGTGTGCTTCATGTCGTTTTGCTCAGTCCGCAAATAAAGTCCGCTGCGCAGCCTCAAGCGCCAGCTCGCTCTCACTCACACGCACACCCAGACAGACTTACACACACACACACACACACACTCACACACATGCACGCACGCACTCACGCATACAGACAGCCAGACACTGTTCAGTTGCTTTTCTCTCCCTTTCGCTCTCTATCTGTCTGTCTCTTAGCTTTTCGGAAAGCTCATTGCCGCTCAGTGCCCATCGCGCATTCGAACCTAGCAGACGTCGCCGAATGTTTGTCTCAGAACAGTTCGGAAATGTATTGTAAATAAATGTGGAGTAAATTGTAAGGTTTTTTCGTGAGCATCAGAGTTGTATAAATAAAAATTGAACGTTTGTCAAAATTCGAAGCACATCTTTGTTACACTGTCTACACCAAAAAAATTTATAAATTCAAATTGATTCGCAGTTATTTGGCTCTCTTTGCAAAAATATCGTAAATTCTTGTCTTTCGGAGTATTCGGAGCTGGTTCACGTAACGCCGAATGCTGCATTCGAGTCGAGTTTTCTCTGTGGTGACAATATCCCTTTTTAAAACAAACGAAAAACAACGGTGATTGTTCTCTCTCTCTCTCTCTCGCTCTCTGAAAAGGCAAACTTGTGTTGAAAAGCAAAGCTCTCTTTGATGACGAGCAGCAACTGAATTTGAGACAATTTGATTTGATTTGAGTTTCGTGCGATTTGCTTCAAGCTTCGCTTTGTTTTTAACAATGTTAATTGTTGTGTTTTTTGGTACTTATAGATGCGCCGCTTCTATTTTTGATTAACATTCGCACGTTAAACAAGCAAAAAAAAAAAAACTAACAACAACAATAACTAACCTTAATTGACTTATAACGACTCTTAACTCATCGTGAGATCTAAATAGTTAATTTTATTGCATACTTTGCGACGTCATTAATCAAATTTGGACACTCCCAATTTGCTTAAATTAACAGACTTTCAGAGTAAAAAATCATAAAATTCCATTTTGAAATAGAAAGTAACTTTAAAAAAAATAGTTTTCTTCAAGCAGTTCTTAAACGTATTTTTGTCGATAGAATTTTTTCTCTGTGTCTTTAATTGAAACCAAAAATCTATTAAAATTAAGTTGTTCCCAAATTGGGAACAGGTAGTTAAGAAAATAAAATAAAATTCTGACTGTTTCTCATTGGAAAAGCTAGTGACTAGCTCTGGGACGTGACACGCCCACTTTGGCAATTAATTTGTAAATTTAATGGCAACTTTTTAGCACGAAATTCGCCAACTGTTTTTTTATTTTATTTTTTGGGCCGTGTAATTAAGTTTTGTTTGTAATCATTTTGTAGTCGGATTCGCAGCTGAAAGCAAATCTCGCGCGTTCCTCAAATGAAAACAAATACTGAACCGGGCCGCGGTTAACTGTAATTACAGCCGGAAAAGTGCCTGAAATCGGAAGAGCAAGAACTATTTTGTTATTCCTCACAGAAAAAAAAAAAAACAGTCGAAAATCAATGATAAATGTTAATAAGAGTGAGAGAGAGGCAACGGCAACAGGCAAAGCCCTCAGTTAAAGTCGCGCAGTGAGATCCGATCTCCGATCTCTGATCTGATATGTTGCAGAGCATAGCCAGCTGATTCCTCAACTGTGGACACCACGTGGCAATGGAAATTTGTGTGCTGGCCAAACCAAGGAAACTGTGTGTAAAGCAGCGACTGACCTAGTGGGAGTCAGAGAAGGAAAATAGAGAGCCAGAATAGAGAGCGAAAGATTGAGAGCATCAAGAGAGTACGCAGAGTATAGAGTATACAGCAAGAGAGTGTGTGCCTGCCGCTCTCTGTGCGCGTGTGCGTGTGTGTGCGTGCGTGCGTGCGTGTGCGTGAAGCATGCGTAACAAGCTCAGCCAGGCCAAGCGGCAACCCAATGAGCATGCGGACAGCAGCTTTGAGCTGGATGAGCAGGAGCCGGCGATCAAGCACTTGACAACCAACTCCAACAACAGCAACAACAACAACGCGTCGCATATCAAGGATGAGTCGGATGCGGGCGAGCTAACGGACACGCTGAGCACGCACAGCAGCAGCTCCACGCCCACCACCGCGGATGTGGCAGATGTTGCGGACGCGGATACGATCAGCTCACTGCCGCTCTCACCTGCCAACTATGCTGCTGCCAGCAGCGGTGGCTGCGGTGCGCAGCTGGTAAAGCGGCATGCCACAACGCTTAAGCAGCAGCAGCAGCAGCTGCCGGCGGAGACATCGACTTCCAACATTGCTGATACGACCAATAGCGAGCTGCGGGATGAGGATAATGTGCCCACGGTAAGCCACAAAGCTGCCGCTGATGCTGATGCTGATGCTGATGCTAATGCTGATGCTAATGCTAATGCTAATGTTGATGCTGATGTTAATGCAAATGCTAATGGCAATTTTAATGGGAATGCTTGTGCTGATGCTGACGCAAATGCTAATGCTAATGCTAATGCTAATGCGGATGCCAATGTTGATGCCCATGCTAATGCTAATGCAAATGCTATTGCTTATGCTGATGTTGATGCTAAGGCAAATGCTGATGCTAATGCTAATACTAATGCAAATGCAGACGCTTATGCTAATAATAATGCTAATGCCAATGCTAATGCACCTACACCGGCATCTCTCCTGCAGTCATCGAGGTATGCGGCGCATCCGAGCGCCGCGTTTGCAGAGACCACAGCACAGGGCGCTTCCAGATCGATTGGTGGCACACATCGACGCACCCTGTCGGCCGCTTCGTATATTTCGATGCGTTCGCAGCCCGCAATTGGAACGCCACCGGAGCCACCAAACCGGAATCGGTTCTTCGAATGGATACGCTTCGGCTGTAAATTCTGCTGTTGCAAGGTTTGTGCCCTGGGAAAATTCCATTGTACAAATTGACTTTCGTTTTAATTGATCGAAAGACAAACAAATCAATTGCGTAGCTCCAATCTCAGTCCCAGTCTCAGCCCCGTCTCAGCCCCAGTCCCAGTCGCTGCTCCCTTCCCATTTGCCCATGCAGTTAGACAGTTTCCGATTTCATTGGCGTCAAATTGTTGCTTGTTCTTCTGTATGTATATATCGTCAACGTGATGTCAACTCACGTTTATGAATGCGAAATAATAGAGAAGCAGGTTTCAGGCTCGAATCCCACATTACTTTTGTGCTCCATTAGATGTTTATATGTATAAGTGATATTTAAAAGTTAAGTTAACTTAGCTTATGACATTATGCAGTATTAAGAATATTTACGAATATTGAAGCAGGTAATGCTGGTTCGAATCCACAGCTTGTGCTGGGAATAATACTTGAAAATGCCATTCAAAAGTTAGTTTAATATTTTAGAGCAATGCATGTTCTAATAAAATTATTTCCTGAATAACTGAAAATTGAGGCTACAGGTCCGAATCTTCGACTAATTTAGGGGATTTGTATCGATGATCTGAATAAGTAAGCTTTGTAGCTTATAAATGTAGCTCATATGTGATTATTGAGGGATATATGTATGCTGTAATAAAAACGCTTTATTTTTAACTTAAGAAAGAGATTGCAGGTTCAAATAATTGGCTCTAATTAGATTATTAACTGTTTACCATATTTTTATAGTAAGTTATTATTAATTATAATTAAAAAAAAAACATTTCCAGTCCTTAATAGACGAGTTCTTTAAATGACTCGATTCTTATGGTCAACTAGAGAATTAAGTGAAATCCGGGCTCAAATCCTCGGCAACATTTGCCCAAGACCTTAGCACTCAGTGCTATTAAACAGTCCATTTTTTAGCTTATAAATCTACCCGATATTCATAGTAATAATAATTAATAATAAATAATAAGAAATAATAATAATAATAATAATAATAATATTATTATTATTATTAATAATAATAAGAAATAATAATAATAATAAATAAATAATAATAACAATAATAATTATATTAATCGTAATAAGATATTTTCTGTAAACCCACAGAGTTCGGGAATTGGCGAGCCGAGTGTGCATCATGCGCTGGTTGTGATATTCTTAGAGTTCTTCGCCTGGGGCCTGCTAACCATGCCCATTATATCGGTGAGTGCACCATTAATAATAATTCAAACATAGCGTTTTTATGAAACGAATCTACTTTTCAGACGCTCAATCGTACATTTCCGGATCATACGTTCCTCATGAACGGCCTGGTGATGGGCATCAAGGGCATATTGTCATTCCTGTCGGCGCCATTGATAGGCGCCCTGTCCGACATCTGGGGTCGTAAATTTTTCCTATTAGTTACAGTATTCTTTACATGTATGCCGATACCGCTGATGTGCGTAAATACGTGGTGGTTCTTTGCCATGATCTCAATTAGTGGCGCATTTGCCGTCACCTTTTCGGTGGTGTTCGCCTATGTGGCCGATGTCACCACGCCGGAGGAGCGCTCCAAGGCCTACGGCCTGGCGTCAGCCACATTTGCCGCCAGTCTGGTCATCTCGCCGGCTCTGGGCAATGCTCTAATGGATATGTACGGCGATGCATTGGTGGTCGCTCTGTCCACGGCCATTGCGGTCTTGGATGTATTCTTTATTCTAGTCGCTGTGCCGGAGAGCTTGTCCGAAAAGATGCGACCCGCCTCATGGGGTGCACCCATCAGCTGGGAGCAAGCCGATCCCTTTCTGGTGAGTTAAAATGTTAGCAATTATTTGAATGATTATATATTTAAGCTCCGTTGAAATGCATTTCGGGTACTTGAATAATTGTTTGGCTCGAACGACTAAATTGTTTGCAACTCGAACATGACTGGTTCAAGCTTCGAGCTAATCGAACATATTTGTATTGTCGAATAGCTATTTGTAGCTCGAACATGGTTGATGACTTGAGATGTTCGAACTTCATCTGAACGAATGCGATTAATGCAAAATACTTAACTATAAACTGTCTTTCCATTGCAGGCTCTGCGCAAGGTTGGCACAGATAAGACAGTCTTGATGCTGTGCCTCACTGTGCTGCTCTCCTATCTGCCCGAGGCCGGCGAGTACTCGTGCATGTTTGTCTACCTCAAGCTGAAAATGGGCTTCAACTATGTTGAGGTGTCCATTTTTATAGCCGTTGTGGGCATACTCAGCATTACGGTCCAAGTAACGCTGGGCTCGTTCATGAAGTGAGACAATTATTTGACTGTCTACAAAATGTAGAGCTCGTTTTGTTAACCAAAAATGTTATCCATTGCAGAGTCTTTGGCGCCAAGCGCACTATCATTGTGGGCCTAGCCCTCGAGTTGGTTCAACTGCTTTGGTACGGCCTGGGCAGTCAGAAGTGGTAAGTCGAAGCCTGAGATGTGAGAAGGCATGAAAGAAGCTTAGATACATTTACTAACTCGTACTCTTTGCAGGATGATGTGGTCGGCGGGCGTTGTGGCCGCGCTGGGCTCGATTACTTATCCGGCGATCAGCGCGTTTGTATCCCTGTATGCCTCGCCCGAGAGTCAAGGTAAGCTACACATGTGCACATCCTCACCGGATCGTATCTCATTTCGCTTCTTGTTTACCTTTTTAGGTGCTGTGCAGGGCATGATCACGGGCATGCGCGGCCTGTGCAATGGCCTGGGCCCGGCTGTATTTGGTGTTATCTTCTATCTGTTCAATGTTGATCTAAATCCCGATCATGAATCCATTATGAACAACAGTCATCCGACGAACGTTGAAAAGATATCGATGCATGTGCCGGGACCGCCGTTTGTGTTTGGCGCTCTGTGCGTATTCTGTGCCATTGTCGTGGCCGCCTTTATACCCGAGAGCCAGCAGGCGGTGCTGGAAAAGAAACGTAAGGATGAGCCTGATAAGAGCGGGGTTAATTCATAAAAATATATGTGTGTGCTTCTTTTGGGGGGGGAATTTATAATCCAAACAATATATTATAAATTGAAAAGTGTTTTAAAAGCCCGAATTTAATCAATCTGTACATCTCTGTGTCTCTCCCCTTCGATTTGGCTGCTGCCCGCAGGTGCCTCGCTCGATGTCCAGTACGAGATCGAGACGGGCCACAAGGTGCCCAGCTCCTTGGCGCCGCTGATACGCTCCGATTCGCTGGCGCAGCTCTAGTCTGCCACGCCCTCCCCCACGTCAATACAGCTGGTGTCTATAATAAATTAAACGATTTAGTAATTGTAACAAATGCTGTAACTAGTTTCGCTTTAGTTTAAACGCAAAAAAAAAAAAAGAAAAAAAGTTAGAATTTGCAGAAAAAGTTATTGTTAAGTCAATTCTGTTCTTTTTCCTTGCCGCATGTGATTTGCCTTTCCGATTCACATTTAAATATTGTACAATTATTAATTTCATAAATCATTTATGAACGGACTTCGCTTGCCCGCAAAAAAAAAAACATAACAAAACAACATAATAATAATAGTTATAAACGCAGCCTGTGTTAAATTTTGGTATTCAATTTTAAAACATCACAGTGACAAAACGTTGAGCCTAACAATTTGTTGTTTTTTATCAACGAGAAACAAACATAAACAAACTGCCAAATAAAAAAATAACATTCTTATTGTTTATTTATTTGTGTAAAGTGCAGCACAAAAAAAAAAGGCGGCCTCATATATTATGTAGCAATTGATTTTGTTCAGCAGCAAACAAATTATAATTACAATTAATTAATTAGTATTAACTAAATAGTCAGCTTTACTTCGCAAATGTTTAGTGATCTGTTGTCGAGAGTCGCAAAAGAAACAACAACAAATATATAGTTCATAACAAATACTATAAATAATAATGCTAACTGTGTGTAATAGTTTTTATTTTGATAAAACAACAAACAATCGCATAATAATATTATTGTTTTTAAATCTATCAAGGCTTAGGCAGAATAATTAAATAAGCCAGTGCGTATGTGTCTAGCTCTTAAGTAGTTGTAAAGTTTCACAGCAAATAATATATAAATATATATATTTATATATATTAAATATATATTTTTGATTTTGAAGCGCAATTAATGTAACGCAGTTCAATGTAAAACTGAAACCAAATTTCTAATGTAAATTATTTAACATAGATGACAAACTAATTGCTATGCTCTACACATGCATAACAAATAAATAATTATATAAATATATGTATATATTAACATACATATATATATATAATGTAAAACTTAAATGTATGTACAAAAAACAAAAAAACTAAAACAAAATGCAAGATGTGAAATTAGCAAATCAACCAAGAATTATTAACAAGAACAACAACAACAACAACAACAACAAATGTGTAATAAATAAAGATATGGTTTGATGAAATCCTACAAAAGCATTTTACAAATTCTGTAACCAATGAAATTGTTTAAAGAAGCGTTTAATTTTAATTTTAAAAAGTCAATTTGTATATTAATTAAATCTTAAGCAGCCAGGCTTAAAGGCGAATGTATATTGTAAGGTTCAACAACAAGCTGTAAGCCGGCCAGCTTAAGATTTTGTTCAGATCTTTAAAAACATGTTTACATATAAGCTAGTGTGTGTGTATATATATATATAATCCAGATCAGATAGATTTTACCAACTGTTAGACTAACAATTTCTATTAGCTATAATCTAGAACAGATTGATTTAACCATCTGTTAGAGTAACTATTTCTTTTGTAGCTTTTCGAGCACGCGGAACAAGCTCTGTTTACTTAGCCAGTTACGCCGTATTTGCTTGAAATGGATAAATATCGATTGAAGGTCCCTTTTCTGAGCATATCTCGAAGACAATAGGAGCTGGAGACACGAAACGTGGTAAGTTGGACTCGTATAGTGTCTTATTATTATTTTATTAGATTTACTTTTGCCAAAAATGAAAAGAAATAGGAAAATAACATCAGTTTGTGGTACTGAAGACAACAGAAGCTATCTCAGACAGCAGTAAGACACTGAAAGAAAGCAAAGATCAACAAGGATTTTGTTGCCTCATTGCATAAATAGAAATTTTGTAACCATGCCACAGCTGGCATCACGTATCCTTTTGGCCTAGTCTGGGCCAAGTTGATCAGTTACTTTTTTTGACATATTTTATACATTTCACTTGTTTGGATAAATTACAATTTAAAAGCGTTTCTAATTTGCGACACTGTTTAGTGAATTTCTGCATGTGCAGCAAAATTTTATGTGTTTATATTAGCCATACATGTGCCCAAGCACTTTGTGAGGACTCATCATATAACAAGTTCCAAGCAATAGACGAGGCATGGCTGTCGAGGCGCGGCCACGTCGCTATTCAATTGGTTATACTAAATTAAGTCGATATGCTAAAGTAGTTGCTATCGTTAGCTGCCTGGTGCTGTTCGCGCTGATCGGACCGGGGGCTGGCGAGGAATGGCACGATACGAATGAGGGGCATGGCACGACGCACGAACAGCTGGGACAGCAGCATTATCCATCAGCTGATCTGACGGTCTACAAGTCGAAAATTCGTTACACTATCGAATTGAATCGCACCAGTTGGAACATCAAGCCCGCGTTCAATCTCTCGCAATTCTTCTTCGATCACACCATCACCGACACGCCCTCCTTGCCGCGCGGTAAGTTCCCCATTTGTACCATTTGGCTGAACTTTTGATTTGCTGAATCTTTCGCTTTCGGGCAGGCTATCTTGCGGTGAAAAATGGCGATACCCTGGTGATGGGTCCCAAGGTTGTCGACAACGACTGGAGCGATCTATTGGGACAATACTTTTTGCTCATACTCTGGGTCATAATCTTAGTAGTTCTCATAATACTGATTCCATTCCTCGCGTGAGTATATCTGAGCTCCAAATTTCGGCATACTCATACCCTTTTAGAGAGTAGGGTAGTTTTGTTCGTCGGTCTCTTTCTATGCAAGCCAAGCTCTAACTCTTTAATCGGCTCATAGCACTATATATATATATGACATGAGAAAGATGGGTCAAGAAGTGAGATATTCGATTATCTTTCACTCAGCTCGACACAAAGTTTGACACAGAGTATACTAAATCATATTTATATCTATATATATATATATCTTCAGCCATCTGTCTCTAGAAGGGTATCAAAACTTCGGCTAGCCGAAGACAGTATTTTTTTCTGTTCCACCCTGCAGCGTGTGCTATTGTTGCTTCTGCTGCTGTCGCCGTTGTAAACGCGGATGTGGTCCCTGCGATGAGGCGAACGACAAGAGAAGGGCTCTGATTTGTGCTGTGATCCTGGCGCTGTTGCTCGTATTCATTTTGTAGGTGCAACTGAAAATTTTAAATGGACTGAACTGAATCTTGATATGTATTTCAGGCTTGGCGCCATCATTGGCTACACGTCGAATCGGGGGCTGGACCGCGGCCTGGCTGAGACGGCGTCCACGGTGCGTCGTGGCAACGAGGACACCTGCCGCTTTCTGGAGGATGTTAACGCGCACATTCACCACATTTTCGTCTACAACTATGAGGAGCTGGAGGCCCATCTGACCGACATGCTAAACAGTAAAGCCCACCGAAATATCAAATACTAAATGAAAACTAATCCGCATGAACTCCACAGATGCCCATCATCACATATTCTTGGACTTGGCGGATACCTCCGAGAGCAATGCCATCGAGCATTTGGACCGCATTTTCGATAATATGAAAGAGGCCAGAGCTCTAATGAAGCAGGTGGTAGCGTTGGACAAGGACCTGCGCTTCTATTCGACACAGCTACGCGATGGTAAATGCTTCTTCTTCTCTATACCGCAAGCCTAGCCTAGGCTTGGACCTAAACATGACCCACTGTCCGCCTCTAAGACATCTTCGAGACTTCAAATATCGTCTCCTGTTATTCTTCCTTTTTCCAATAGCTCATGTATCGATAAAAATCGGTTTTGAGGCTTCCTTGCTTAAGCTTAGCTCGAATAGCTTTAGAGCTGGATGCATCTAATATGGTATGAAGGTTCTCTTATCGTACGTACAGATTAGTAATATTTTACATTTTTTACACACACGTATTTTTGCATGCGCTATCTAATTCTAAAAGTTTCATAAAGATCGGACTATAAATACCAAAGTTGTTAAAAGGTCCATCTCGCGAAAAGTGTGAAACAAGGGGAAATACGGCATTCTCATTTCCCGATAACTTTCTTCGAACCTTTATCGAAATATAGATCCTAATTTGTTATGTAGTACACTCTCATTTAGTTTAGAGAAATATTGGATAGTTCCAATTTGTGTAGCTTAGCCCTTTGGCCCTTGGGTCTGCCAGCATTAGGGATCAGACACTAAATACCAAGGATAATCAAGAAAGTATGTTTACATTAGCAGCTAGGAAGGGTGTCGGCTAGTTGGGCAACTTCGACTAGAAACTTTAAAAGCTTTTCCTTATTGAAGGTGTGCGAGGCGCCAAGCGAGACGTGAACTACGCCTGTTCCAATTTGATAAGCAATAACAAGTGTAAACAATTCTTAAGAAATTCGGAATTGGAATTCGTTGATACTTCGAGTTGCCTGCACTTGGATAATGTAAGTCTGGCCTTCTGTTCAAATAGTGGCCAAGTGAGACAGGTTTTGAGTTTGGTTTCAGATGCCGAACACGACGCTGTTTCTGGAGGGCATTGAGCAGATCATCAAGGACGACGTCGCGATAATACCGAAAAAGGCGCTGGAGCGCTTTCAGGATATTGCCAGCAAAATCGAGACGGCCATGAATCAAGTGATTCCCCCGCTACTTCACGACATCAACCAGGGCCGCGAGAAGTTCCGCATCCAAGCCGCAAATATACACAGGACGATCGAGTCCGTGATCAGCGACATCCACATGCGAACTCTTCGCTCCACGGAGTCCTTTGAGGATGTCTACGAAAAGTTCGGCAAGAGCCGCAGCTATATTAACGCACTCGTCTGCATATTTTTGCTTGTGGTAAATATCGACGCTAATTTAAAAGTGAATCCTGCGCTCAAATCCTCAATTGATATTTCGTCTCAGATTGTGATCCTAATGGCCGTTGGCCTGATTTGTGGCTGCACGCGCAGCAAACCAACGGGAGCCACATGCTTGTTGATGTAAGTAAATTGGTTCGATTTCGTATACCCTGTAACCCCCTCTGCGTGAGAGCGTAGGGTAAAATGGGGTATATTGTGCTAGAAGAGGGGTACTTATCTAATTTAAGCCTCAAATTTATAAATATCGATAAGAGCGTTGAATATGGTTTGGATCGATCTATCGATTTTCAGATTATTATCGATTTTCGATGGTCACTGCCGATAAGCGCAAGGGAAACAAAATTTGCAGTTGTAAAAATTTGTGAAATGTTTCCATTTTTTTGTCACTATCTACCAGAATTAAATCTCCCTTGCTAACGATAATAATTTCAAATTTAAAGGTTCATCATCTTGATAAATATCGTTCTTATCGAAGCATCATTTTTATT